TGCCACTCGATTCCTCGGAGCCTCTGTACATTGTTGAGCTTGGAGCAGGCTCGGGGAAATTTTCCTTCTTTATGCTTAAGGTTCGTGAACGCCACTATCATGATCTATCATGATCTCGAATGTGGAGTCCTTCCAGGCAATAAACGAGCTTTCAGGATTGCTGAACTTCCCCTGTACCAAGCTTGTGTATGTTATGACTGATTTTACATGGAATAACCTGAAATTTTGGAATGAACATGAAAGCCTACGTTTGTATATCGATAACGGACAGCTGGACGTCGCGATTTTTGACGCTGTAAATGACGAGTCAATCAAGTACGCCTACGCATAATTATTCTATTCGAGTCCTGGCACCATAGACTTTATCATTCTGATTTATTGATTTGTCCATCCACAATGAGAAACCCAATTTGCGTCATTGCAAACTATCTTTTTGACACATTATGTCATGACATATTCCAAGTTTGTGTAGATTTCTAAACCAGCATTGAATCCTCGAATAATCTCAGGTCGAGAACGGCGAGTTGAAGGAGGGGCTAATCTCAGTCGGATCCCGAAAAGATCTGGAGGATGACCCTTTAGATCCAGAAATAATAAAACGATTTGACAATCAATTCCAGTATCGCGTTGTCGACGAAGACTACTACACTAAACTAGAAGTCGAAGATGCTAGGCATTTCAAACGTATTCTTCGGTCAGGAGACAGACTTCTCCTCCTCTTGACAATGTCACTACGTAGGTGGTACCGGGACTTTTTTGGAAATTCGCAGAGTGGTGCTTCAATCCTCCTCCCCATTGGTGCTTTGCGTGCTCTTCGACGCCTCACTTCATTTGCGGGCAAGTTTACTTGTTCGTCGTCACATCTTTAAGATATTCCCATATTCAGGTGGCCGTGCTCTAGTCCTCTCGGGAGACAAAGGAAACAATAATCATGAACAGTCGTGGCAGTGTTCTACTTCAATTTATTTTGTTTGGTAACTCAGGTCTTTGTACAGGTTTCGAGGTTTAATGGACCCCCACGTTGCAGTTCATGGCTCTTTCTCCGTGATGGTCAACTATCATGCTATTGGTCTTTACTGCACCAGTCGCTCGGGCTTTGTCCTGCATGATCCACAAGAAGAAGCCTCACTCAAGGTATCAGCATTAGTTTTCACGGGAGAGTCTTCTACATGTTCACCATTAAGTGACTCCGCAGATCGGACCTACGCAAAATGCGTAGAAACTCGAGCATCATCCTCGAGCTTCGACCTGTGCGAAACACAAGCTTGGACAGGAAACGAAGTAGAGCGCCTTTCTGCTGTACAATTGTTGGAGTCCTAGGGAGAAATCCTTCAAATCTCCAAATGCATATTCCCAGGCTCGCTCGATTGCGTTTCCCTATCTCTGCCGGACCTTTCGTGACTCGATAATCTCATTCGGTCCCAATGACTTTTTTGTCATGCAGAAGAGCATGAAAGAAGACACTCAGCGGCCAGCTCTCAAGGCAATTGTTGCGCTCCTAAAGCATGTTATCCAACATCCAATCTTATCGTGCATGCTTTCGTGACTGTTTGATACCCCATAGGCTGAGCAATTGGGATCCGGATGTATTTTATAAATTTCGTGATGTCATACTTCAACAGGTGCCCACTTGTACAATCAAGTTGCGTAGCGATTTATGTCGAAACCTCCCTTACATATGGGCCAATCACTTCATACTTGACAAGGATAAAGATGTGGCATTCGAGGTAAGTGGAAGTCTCAAGTGGCGTTGATTTTCTTTCGTCGACTTTCACTAACAGGTGGGGCGACTGTACTATGGCCTTCGCATGTACGAAGACGCAGTCCGATTCTACTGCATATCCGTTGCATCTAGTGGCGAACACCATGTCACCTTCCATAATATGGGACTGTGCTATTACTCGCTTGGGCAGCTGGAGGTTGCGATGGAAAACTTTAACAAGGCTCTCTGGCTCAAAAATGATTATGCAAAGGCAAGGGCATGGCAACAGAAATTGTTAAGAGAAACTAAGGGCTAACTGAATTGCGGGAGGAGGGCTCATACACTTGTCATCCCACATCCCATGATGCTATCCCAACCACGCTATTCACCTTTTCAGATGCAAGTGTCACGACAGAAATTCGACAAGCTTCAAGAGCGAAGGCCCAGGAAGCACGAGGGGTCATGGCTTCAGAGACCACATTGTCATCTCGGGAAAAGTCTAGGCCCCAAATCATGGCGCCAAATCACCTATAAATCACGGGTAAAGACCCGAGCCCCATATTAGAGATCGGCCTGTTGCTACCAACCAGAGCTGCCAGCGAGCTGCCAGCTGGTCTAGGGCCGGTCTAGGGCGGTGTCTAATTGTCGCTACACAGGGTCGCAATCGAGCTCCCAATGCATGAACGCGGCAGCTCTTCCTTGTCGGAAGGCTGGGTTAATGGCGTTTTTGTTCTTTAAAGCGGAAGGTATCGAGAGCAGGAGGCTAAAGATAATAGAAATATTGACGCAATGTAAAACTTTCACACCTCCAAAACTCCATGAAAAAATACAGACAGAAGCTAAAAAAATGCCAGTGGATTCAAACGCTCGCCCGGCGCGCACTATACCACATCATCTCCCCTCACCACTCTCTCCACTTAACATTTAGTCTCTGCAGCCATGCACCGAAGCAATGCAGTGGCGTATGAGTGATTTGACAGGCAATAATAGCAAAAAGATCTAGTGAGGTGCGCCGGCCTGAGTTGGACCTGAGTTGGCTCATGAGGTTGGACTCTTAGGCAGCTTATGTGGCGTGGCAGTCTCATGAATAAGGGCGACCTTGCCCATTCTGCGTAGTCAGCGGGATGGTTGTTTTTTTGGGGGGCGGATGAGGTGGGGTGGGGCGGATAGGGCTGTGCTCAGTCGCACAGCGGTATGCATGGAGGTGATGCATACATTTCCAGGCAATAACAAAGCATTGATGATGCTCAATCAGCTTTTACTACGGAGTAGATGTGGCAGACAAAAGCTAAAGTGGAGTGAAATCCGATAAACCCAAGCATCAGAAAGAAAGCATAAGAAATTATGGCCATATATCCAAAGTAGAAGCTACCCTGGATCATACCATCCATGCTTGACCGATTGAAGAAGTAGAAAAAGGAGTAAGCATAGATGAATACACCGGTAGAGCCTCCACACAGGAGGGAGCGCCACCACCAGCGATAATCCTCTCTAGCAAGCTGAAAATACACAAGAGACACTGTGATGAATGCGGTCACCTACGATGCATCCTTAGTTTTTGTGTGAGACGGCCTTTTACACAGACAAAACGCACAATTATGAGCATTACAAAGGCCAGATACAGGATTCCAAAGAGGGTATAAATTTTGTGACCCCAAAGAGAAGCAAAAATATAATGAAGTTCAATGTATATAGCACTGAAGGGTAAAAATCCAGCCATGAACCTAAAAAGAGATTACTGGAGCCATGTGCATAGAGGATTGAGAAGGCCGGGGACTCTGTGCAGGGCATTTGTGCAGGAGGGAGTCGATACCAGGGCATCTCAGCGGGAATTTCACGGGGCACGCGGGTTGTGCGGCACGGGGACTTCAAATCAGTGGATATCTGACGCCCAAGAATGGCACCAGCAAGAGTCAGGGGAAAGGCAACTAGACCATAAAGAGCGACGACGATGACAACTGCGACGATAGGGAGTGCGGCGGAGGATCCATGAGCTAAGGCGACTGAATTGACCCACGTGAAAACCAGCGCAAGTGGTGTAGGGAAGGTGAGGGCCACGAGGAGGGCATTGGCAAGCCAAGCCTCACCACCGAGTTGGCGGTAAAGGCGCGACGAAATAAAGCCACCAAATGGCGCAGAACATGCATACAAGAGAATCATGGCTGTAAGAATGGCACCACGTTTAGTCGGTATAAAGCAGTTTGTGACAGCACAAGTCAGAAGAAGAAAAATGACACAGAAGAGATGAGCACCCGCACCAACAAGAGCAGCTAGAACATTAGCGTACGGGGGGAATCGAAAGACATCGCCGTTGATCAGCTTCCAGCCAGTCTCCTCCTCCCCAATTTCATCTTCTTCTACTTCCATGTAGCGTGAGAAATCATTCTTTAAAACACGCATCATAATTATGGTAAGGAAAGCTGTAAGTAGGAGAACAAGGACAAACGAATTGATGATTGACAACCAGTGAATTTCAAATGTTCCAGGCAGAAACCTGGAGTCGTGGTAGCGAGACATCCTCGAACCCCAACTAAGATCCGTTCGTGCTACCCATTCAACACTGTAAGAAAACGCCACTTCCGTGCCATCGAACTCCTCGGTAATATCAACTTTGCGTTGCGGGTTTGTAGAGACGTTCACCGAAACCACCTGATTCTCATTATAACCGATTGAGAAGTGCAGGTGCGGATATATGTAACGGCGTACAGTCTCCAAGTGCCCCAATAGCACATCTTCTCCCTCTACTTCACCAACGTAGCCCCACATAGGAAGATCTTCAATGAACATTTCGAAGTAGTAGTCATTCTCTATTGCCTTCGTGAAAGTCTGTAATTCATGCCTGGAAAATGACTGTTCGCAAAGAAGCCGCCACGGAACATTATCTAAAAAGGTAACTTCATATGGCGAGATGACCTTTCGATCACCAACAAGCCTTTCACCGAAATCTTCACGCCTCTTTTTTTTGGAGCGCGAGCAAAAAGGCAAAGAATAGTACTCGTAGGTCTCGGATGGGTTATTGAACGGTCCCACCTGATTGGTAATTAAATCAAAACATCAAGGGAGGAGCCGCGCCTTGTTAGCAATGATTTGCAGTGGTTCGTGAGCAGCATACTGAGGCCCCGACGCCCCAACCGTAATAGGCGCACTGGCGAGCGCAACTAAAAATCTAATCATTGCGGCTACAAACCGAATTTTTGCGCGGCGAAGCAAGTAGGTTACCTTGGCCAACTATCCCGCCACAAAGCCCCCAAGCTTGATTCTTAGCGCCGCCCTCTGGCTCGTTAAAAGTTCAAAAAGAATAAGTCTGGCGGTGGCAAGAATCGACTGGGCACATTACTAGCTGCTGCCAGTGAGAGCTGCGCAAAAAATGCTTCAACTGTACCAATAAAATGCGACGTCCATGAGGAATAATGGCTTTTGCTATCGGAAATGCGGCATTTTGAATATTTCGCGGGATCTGATAATTGCTACTACTGCATGAAAAAGGTACCGTAGTCCTTTGA